GACGAATTTCTTTAATTTAATGAAAATTAATAATAATTTAATGAACACCAGGTAAAACACCGAAACTTTCATCGGTTTTGGATTAAAAAAAACACGAAAATTTTCAATAAAATTCTCAAAACCGGCGAAAATTTCGCTCATTTCGAGACACTCACCAACTAAAGCCAGGATGACGGTCAGTAGAGGAGCCGCAGGAAAACTTACAGTCACGTTGAACTCCAACATTTGCAACAAATCAACTGGAAAGAAAATTAATCAAATTTCCACCCTCCTCCTCCTCCTCTCTGATAATGATGATGAATGATTAAGAAACGAAACAGGGTTAGTGTGTCAGACGACTATGATTTTTTCCAATAAAAAAAAAAACACATAACAAATATAGAAAGGGTGACTTTGATCGATTTACGGATTTAAAACCGGATATATTTTCTTATGTAAAGCTCAACCGCAACTTTGGTCAACATGAGCAGTTTGTTTGGCGGACTGCGGCCGACGACGAGCTGCTTGGGGCGCACAACACACGACCCTTGAGACTTTTCATGTTCAAAGTATTAAATCCGGAAACCGAAATATAAGAAGCTAACCGAAATGGATACTTTGATGAAATATGACGAGTGGAAACGATCGACGCTCGAGGAGGTACATTGGGCCACAATTTATAACTAATTTAACAAAAACTACAACATTTTCACCAAAAATTCACTAAACTTTGAATAATTCAAATTTCCCGCAATAAAAAAACAATATCTTAATAAGATATATACAGAGTGATTTTCTTAATTCTTCAAACAAAACTGGAATTTAAATTTCCCGCCCAAAATTGAAGCATGCGCCATGTACATTTTGCAGTGTTGCCAATTTAAAAATAACAATAAACTGTTCTTGCAAAACTGTAGAGTTTTATTAAGATATATACCGAGTGATTTTCCTAAATCTTGAAACAAATTGAACTATTGATTTTTTGTTTCATCTTAAATTACTTTCTGTTCTTTGAAATTTGTAAAACTTTTTTTATGTGTAAGTTTCGTTTAATACAAAAAAAAATAGAAATCCTACATATTTTATTTGTCAAAATTTGAAAAAAATAATTTAGTTTTCGAATAAAATAGACAAGATTTTGAACTA